GCGTCAGTTTCACCCGCCCGTATGTAGACATATTTTTAAGGTGCAGCGTGACACCGTTAACAGATTTTAACAGATTGTACGACGCTTCTTTCAATTAATCGCCTTGCGACAAACTGCCGTTCTGAGAAAAGGTGACCTGCGCGAAGTTTGTTTGTTTGTTTGTTGTTTAACGCCGCACTCAGCAATATTCCAGCTATATGACGGCGGTCTGTAAATAATCAAGTCTGGACCAGCCCATCCAGTGATTGATTCACGCAATTGGGATACAATGACATGCATCAACCAAGTCAGCAAGCCTGATCACCCGATCCCGTTAGTCGCCTCTTACGACAAGCGTAGTCGCCTTTTACAGCAAGCATGGGTTACCTTCGCGAAGTGGTATCTTTGACTGCTATTATATGTTACACTGCAAAATGTCCGAGTGTTGACGGGTCGTCATGTTCGCACCTCTGTCACAAAGGATAGATGTACACAAAATGGACTAGCCACATTTAGTAATATAATCTCACTGAAAACAACCTACACGACTATACACTGTGTCCCTCGTTTATATACACGTTTCCATACACAGTGATTTCATATACTTCATAGGGTTCTTATTGTTTTCATTTCCTAATACATCTGCAACACGTTTGTACCGTTGGGGGTGTCCAGCTGATGCGTATACGGTAGTATAGTGTATCGTCGGGTACAAGAACTGATTTTGACAGGAGATGTCGCTTGGGTTAGATTAATCTATATCTACATTGTAGATATCGCTGCAATGAAATTGCACCACAATGCTTTGCAGACCATTGTGACATCATTGTTACCATGCCGTCACAATAAAATGACATCACTAATGCCTCTGCTACTGAAGGTTTTAGCAGTACTTTCTTTACACTTAAGACACTGCATACTACTGTCTACAAACTGAAAGAGTTGGAAGAATGATGTTGGTTGATAAATAGAATCTCACCCTTGTGTCTTTTGATATCAAATATATCAACACTTGTCGGTAAAAGTTAAAAATCCTCGGCAAGACTCGGAGTTTTAAATTGTTATCGACTCGTGTAGATATATTTGATATCAAAATACACTTGGGTGAGATTCTCCATATAGCTCGAATATTGCTGAGCGCGATGTTATAAAGAAAGAAAGAAACAAACAAACGAACAAACGAGAATCACAACCTGGTTAACATATATTTGTGGTGTTGACACTGCACGGAGAAGCTTGTTCATCCCGATGTTGTTGGCAGGTAGTTCAAGATACTTAAATGATTTAACCATTCATCCGGGACAGATAAACCGATTTCCTCGTAGCTCGTTGGTCATTATACATATTACTCATTAACAGCTTAAGGGAGAAAATGAAGAAAAACCGTGTGAAATGTCAAACATACGGAGAAACTTCGCTGAAGGCAGTCCATTGTTTAGATGAGGTAATGTAGTCAGTTTGTGGCGTAATATATCAATATATGTACAGTGGGGGCCGTCATATCTTATTTCATTTAACAATGAAGCACTGTGACTTCATATCGCTTCAATGGACCAGTCGGAATTGAGAATCGCTAGAATGCACATGTACGAGTATGTGCAAATATCGAAAACTTTATCACACACGATCATTGTAGTCTTATGCAAAATAAAATAGATGGAAAAATGGAAAGTAACTGTGTTCGCAATGCCACAGCTTACTGGAAAACAACGTTTACCCCCCGTGGGTATACTACAAGCAGGGATGGCGCAAAACGAAGTTGTCGTAAAATTTAATCTTAATCGCAGCACATGATTTTTTTATACGTTATCTACAGCAGGGCAACACTCATGACTTGCCACGGGCCGTTCGTCCACGTGTGGCGTACCGTCAACAAGACAACCATATTCGGTTGGTGCGCCTACGGAATTGATACCAAACTGCCATATTAACAGCTCGGACAATTATGCAAATGCAGGATAGATCCCACCCATACTTTATGAGGCAACAAAACATTGCTTTACTGACATGGCCGTCTGTTTCTGCAGTCCTCTACCCTAAAGAAAAGGTCTGGGATGAGATAGATCGACGCATACGACAGGACCAGAACCAAGCGGTAATATGACTACAGCATATGTGCCAATCTTTGGTTGACATTTGGAACAACATCCCTCGGGCTGTTTTAAATCATCTTGTGTCTTCAGTGCACCGCCGCTTCCTCGCCTGTATCAACGCAATGGTGGTCACACCCGATATTGACGTTGTTAATTGAGTTGTTACACCACCCACCTTTTAGAGCGTGTCGCTCACCGCCTGTTTCCAGGTATGGTTCTGTCAATGGATTTGTGTTGATAAAACTTTGAAAGACGAAAGACCAACTTTGTTGTTTTGTTCAATTACATATTAACATTTACACCATTTTATATGAAGCACAATAGGCAGGGGCAGCCCAGTCGTCAAAGCGTTCGCACGTCACGGCGAAGGCCCGGGTTCGATTTCCAACATGGATATAATGTGTGAAGCTAGAATATCGCTAAAAAGCGGTGTAAAACCATACTCTCATTGGAAGTTAGCTAGTTTTTATTTGGTAATTGTATTATCGTTTCCTGTCAATACGACTAAAGCATCTGTACCGACGTACAAACACTGTAACGAGTATAACAACACATCGTGTATATATCATACGTCTTTCTGTTGATACAGAATTCGGTCACAGCTTGAAACAACACAACACCTCACCAAAAACTAATGAAACATGAACATGTTTTGGCATGGACAAAATAAAGTTACTTCAATGAGGATTCTATTTTGAAGAATTATACAGCGGTTGAAATGTGATGTTACGTTCGCTTGATGCTTTCCGACAAGAGAGACCACTTTACCGTTTCTGCAACTGGTTATTGTTATGAATACATTTGTTTGAATCAGTCAACTAATGTTATTTTTCTATTTTCTTAGATATTTTACAGCTAAGTCATGCAATCAGTTCATGGCATACGTGAAAGATTTGTTAAATCACTCCTAATGCATGATTTCGTCGACCTGGTGCTTTCATGTTTTCTATGAGACATTTCCAGAATACACCCCCATGCTGCCACCAAAACCCCACCTCCATGAGAAAAACATCGCTGATGTTACATGTTTCAACTATTCGCTTGTTTATCTGAATCACACCTCACAGTACAGTGTTTAACATCCTCGCTCGTGTTTTCCTCTCCTCTCCATCACAGACAGCACTAATTAAGCGTACTGTTACTCAAAGGTTTTATTGATTTTTTGCGCGCGAGAGCCGGTTTATTTGAGTGGGAGCGGAAGTCAGCGAGAGGCAACTCAAAACGAGGCTATAGCCTCGGGCAAGCAATAATTCACTACCGTCGCATCTTGACAGGACGAGGAGCTTCTACTTCCAGTGCATGTCTTGGCGAAATAACAGGTTGGTGAAGTCACTGGGATCTTTTCTTACATTCCTTTCTGTTCGGGAGAATATTTTCAGTCTTTTCCATCGAAAGTGTTTGTCAGGAAGTGGCATGATAGCTTGGAATCGGTGGCAAAAGTAATGAATTTCTTGTGCCTTAAGGTCGTGTCGTCTGCTTATGGTTGGAGGGGAGGTGATGAGACGTGCGAAATCACTGATGCGTAACAAGTGACACGTATGTGTTACGGTATGCTATGCATATATGTTTCACTGATCTAAAACAAATTGAAAATATTTATATACAATATCATTAATACCACAGACGCAGTTATAGCGTGATGTCTCAAAGTCCGGACTTAATTAACTTTCCGAGCCATATGTCTATTTACGCCATGCTTTGATGTCAGGTGTATTTCGGTAGTCACACAAACACTATACCAAACAGACAACATACACGTGTTGGGATATTTACTATCAAAGTATTGATCAGTCCATAAGTTGCCATACAGTTAATGTATAGGAACATGTCTTAAACGTGTTTATGCAAAATTAATATTGCACGTTATACCTCTGTGAAAACAGATGTTAGGATATAACAATCGCATATTATTTCATTCCTCTGTCGGAATGTCCATCAAGGAACGTAGCAGCACATCGCCACCTTGTTACCAAGGTTGTTCACATTCCGACTGTTCAAAAGCAAGCCCAATCCAGGAAATGAAATATTGAATCAAATTAAATTTAAGATCTCGACGGGGTTGTTTGCAATTGACGCCTTACAGCAAACTGATCCCCGTTGGTTTTACGGTAGAGTCAGGAACCAAGGTGAAACCTCTGTGATATTTACAATGTTATCGATTTCCCCGTTGCTATGGATTAGCATTATCGCCATCGCCGAGGCTTTATTATTGATAGCAATGTACAACGCTAGAAGACAATGATCGTCGTTTAGGGAATGCGGCTACACATTTGGGGGTCATGTCAGCGTGAACTGAATGTAACATACTGTTTCAACAGTGTAGAGATTTGATTGACACACAGGTGCCCTGTAATTTACAACTGAAATATACACAACGATGAAATATGATGTGGAACGTTTAAGCTTGAAGTGGTATTTGATTCTGACCTTTGCATTAGATGAACGATATACATTAAGAAATATTTGTTTGAATTCATACATAATGTAAAATAATTTGTGTATTTAATTTACGTCTGTACCAAGGTAGGATCTATGACAGCTTTCATATGTAAATGTGCATATGTGCACGTAAACAACGTTTGCATTTATAACGACAATGCATGATACTACGTTACTACGATACAGCAGGAGTTACTTCTTGTCAAAGCATTGTTAAATATGTATCATATACCTGTCTACGTTTTCGTAAACTGACAATGATATATCACCATAAACAAATCAATACAATTTGATTGATGACACACAAACAATGCACCTTGGACAATCAATCACATTACCTCCACCCCCGGGGACATGACGCAACCCCCTCAGATTAACTTTATGGCGACACGTCCCTCTCGGGTCAAGGCAAGCTTTGTTTAAAGGGTCTGTCGCATCTACCCCCGGGCAGGTGCGTTACTTCCCTGTCACCCTGCACACTGGCGAAGGAAGTGACCACACATCGCCCCCGTTGACAGGTAGTTTAAGAGTCGGACTGCAGTTGTCTACATTAGATGACATCGTGTTGTGGAGTACGAGAGGACATAAGCTGTTTGTTATTGTCATACAATCAGGACTTATAAGGATATACTACTGGTAAGAGCAAGTGTATTTTCGTGATGGAATATTCGTTTGTGTACAACAGGTTAAAGACAACTATTTACTGAACTGAAGGTCTGCAAATAAGACATCTGCTGTTATTAACGATGTGAATTAATGTTCTTCTCTAACTGTTTGAATAGCTGTTGTGAGAATCAGCTCACCAATGCTGATTAGTTCCCGACACACGCTTGTAGTCCGATTAAGTTATATTGTTCTTTGGGATATGTATTTTGATGGTTATTATGGAAAGCCGCAATCAGGTGATTGATAGTGAAGTCCGGTAGCCACATTTCCCGTTGAAATCACCCAGATGAACAATTTTGGTGTATTAACGGATCACAGTTTTGGAGTTATCTACCGTTGTATATATGTAGACTTTAACATTAATCACCAGGAAAACAGGTTCCCAGGATTACTGTATTTATGTTTTGATACTAAGATCAGAACAAGAAGGAACTGTACATTTCCTCTGACATAGGAACAATTACTATTCTGCTGGAAGTTGCTTAAAATTTTACAGGCACTGATTGTAGTTTCCCCACAGTATTTCCAGGAGAATAGTCTCATGCATATGCTACACTTGAGTTGTCATGGGGTGAGGCTTCAATGAATAATTCAAATGTAATTGATGATAAAGCAAGGCTCTCGCTATGGAGACGTTCCGGCCTCATGTCAGCCTCATGCATACAGCTAGTCACATGGGTGTCGTAACTGACGTGTCATCCCACATCACCCCCTGCATCGGCGGGTATTGAGTTTAATGTTCTTACCAACACAACGTTGTCCAAGCGAAATTGGATGGGACATTCCGTCGTGTGTATGTAACGCCAAGTTGGATTCCAGTTAACCAAACAAATGCGTGTTCTCATTGTCCCGCAATAATGAACATTTAAATTTTGAAAAGATAAACGTGAAGGTGTTTTTTTCAGGTCACGATGAACCTCCGTGACATAGTACTGACCTTCACCTCTGCCCTCGTGGCCTTCAGTCGTGCCCACCAAGGTCACCATCATGCGGAAACACAGGCAGTTGAGGGATTCCACGAAGCCGGCAAAAACGAACAGTAAGATTTTGTTTACTAAAAGTAACACTTTTTGTTTTTGACGGAACTGCAATTAACAGCTATCTATCTATCTATCTATCTATCTATCTATCTATCTATCTATCTATCTATCTATCTATATATATGAGAGATGAAAATAAGACGAACGTTACTCGTTTCAAGACACAAATAACAGGTAATATTATTTACAGATCTCTGACACGACAAACATTATTCAGGAGAAAGGTTTAGCCGTACCATTTAATGAGATGAGGACTCCGCCCAACCACTGTCATCTCATTCCGACGTTTTGTCTAAACCATCAGTATATTTGGGTCCAAATAAAATATCATTATATATCCTTCTGAAGGGGAAATCTGTTTAGTATACTGAGGTCGGCTATACAGAATCAGTGTGTGTGTAGTATGAGTGTTTATTTACTCCCATTCGTGCAGGGCTGATCCCACTTCTTCCTCTTCTTCACAGACATATCAAGGAGCATATGCAGAACGAGATGAACACACAGAGACAGATGTCACCACAAGAACTAGAGTTCCATTATTTCCGGTAAGTCCACATTGCAGTCAGACCCGTGAAGATTCGGGGTAGAATAGGTCTTCAGCAACCCATGCTTGCCGTAAAAGGCGACTATGCTTGTCGTAAGAGGCGACTAACGGGATCGGGTGGTCAGGCTCGCTGACTTAGTTGATGCATGTCATCGATCCCAATTGCGTAGATCGTTGCTCATGATGTCAATCACTGGATTGTCTGGTCCAGACTCGATTATTTTACAGCCCGCCGTCATATAGCTGAAATATTGCTGAGTGCGGCGTTAAACAACAAACAAACAAACAAACAAACAAACACACATTGCAGTCAAGGACGATGACGTCATATCAGTATGCCACGTGGTGATTCCACAGATAATCGTGTGGGAATTGTCATGAAAGGTAACCTGCTTATTAACTATATATGGACTGAATACATGGTTTCAAATCTACGTCGGTCAGAGAAGGAACAAGATTATTAGCTAGTAGATGCTTACGTCACGGTTCAAAACAGGGCTGGGTGAAAAGGTTTCACAAACCACTCTATATTGATTGATTATAAAATTATTCAATGTGATCTGAAATCTGGCTCGGCTATATTTACACCGGAAACTCCGATTGATTGACACGATAACAACCACCCTATAACTAATTCTGGAGTTTATAAACGTTGGAACTCTGTTTTGGGCAAAACATAAGCGACACATATATTCCCTGTCATTTAATAGAGGATCGTCATGGTAATAAACCTCTCGATTCAACCCATAATGACCATGTGAAGGTATCAAGTCTAGGAGAAAACGCCTATTGTATTGTCCAAGACATTTAATCATTTTAACTAGCATGCTGCATCTTACCGGATTTCAGAAGTTATCGTTTTCGGGGACATCGACTGATTGTCTTTGAAAATGCCCTGAAGTTATTTAAAAATTACATAATTTTTATAATGATGTGGAAGAATGTCAAATCATGAAAATGTCATAATGTCATTGATCTCTTGCAAAATCACTGTCTTACAACGTTCGGCTTACCGTAATCATAAACGTCCTTCCGTTATAATTCATAAACGTCCTTACCGTAATAATATGTAGGGTACCTTACCTGTCTTATTTCCTGGTTCGCCTGTATCATATGTATCTTTATGGAATAACATGTTCCAACTTCATCGCATTACATTTCTCCTGAACGATAAATCATTTCTCACCCTCGGATGGACGTTTCTCCTCACATGTTTCGCATTTCTTCATATCGGATTCACCTTCAGTCATAATCGTATCCAATTCTACCTTTGTTTTTCATCTTCTTCATGCCTGGGCCTCTCTGTAACATGCACCATCTCGACCTTCCTGTAACATGCCCCATCACGACCTCCCTGTAACACGCACCATCTCGACCTCCCTGTAACACGCCCCATCTCCCCCCCCCCCCCCCCCCCCTGTAACATGCCCCATCACGACCTCCCTGTAACATGCACCAACTCGACCAGCCTGTAGCATGCACCATCTCGACCTCCCCATAACACGCACCATCTCGACCTCCCTGTAACACGCACCATCTCGACCTCCCTGTAACATGCCCCATCACGACCTCCCAGTAACATGCCCCATCTCGACTCCCTGTAACATGCCCCATCCCACCCATATCACATTGCTCCACTTCACCATCCGCTGTTTTCCCCATCAGCCTCCATGACACGAACAACGACACGATGCTTGATGGTCTCGAGATCCTACAGGCTCTGTCTCACATGCTGCCGCCGAACAACCTCCAGCCTCACGAAGTCCAGGGCAAGACGGAGGAGCAGGTCCAGACCATGAGGCAAGACAGACACAAGCTCATGTTCAAGAACTATGTTGGTGGGTTGTTATACCTTCTGCCTCCACGATATACATTGTACACTTAAGACCAAGAGACACTGCATCAATTGTATTGTATGGTGCACAGTATGTGATATATTACTCAGCTCCTTACAGGAACTGTTGTGCTTAAATTGCTTCGGTGAATTGTGTTTCATTATCTCATAACGCTAACGACATTTGTCCTATGATTAATTTCTTCATATGATTCTGTTAAAACAATGCTAGAAAAATAATTTTGTCTTAGGATTAAAAAACAATGGTAACTGGATATCCTGACAAAAGTCTGTTCTTGGTAAAATAATTGTCCTTACGAACATCCAAACATTATCATTTCTTGAATCGTTTGATAGGCATCACTTAGAAATTGACGGATGACAAAGTAGACACAATTTATGGATAACAACTTCTTTAATACTGTAAAGGCGACGTTTCGGAAAAGATCATTATACCGTTGTCAAGCTAGACATGTCTATCATGTCTTCTTTGAGCAATCTGCGATCGGAATTTAATTTGTTAATCACTTTGTGGTGTCCATATGTATTTGAAGATTGGGTTTGACGCTTAGGCAAATCCTTGGAAATCCATGTTGCTGGACAATTGACATACATGGTTTGGTGGGGCAAAACGTGTAAATTATACGCTAAATCTATTTTTATACTATTTCAGAAATCATTGATAAAGTTCTCCGGGAGGATGACCGAGATGGAAACGGTTACCTTAGTTATCCAGAATATGTCCTCGCTAGGAGGAGAGATGAACAGCGCATGCGTCAACAGCAGGAAGAGATGATGAAACAAGGATATCAAGGAGGGTATCAGCATCCTCCACAAGGATACCAACAACCGCCACAGGGGTACCAACAACCGCCACAGGGGTACCAACAACCTCCCCCACAAGGATACCAGCAACCCCCGCAGGGATACCAACAACCTCCTCCACAAGGGTACCAACAACCTCCTCCACAAGGGTACCAGCAACCTCCTCAGGGATATCAACAACCTCCCCCACAAGGATACCAACAACCTCCTCCACAGGGGCACCAACAACCTCCCCAGGGATATCAGCAACCTCAACATGGACAGCAACCACCACAACACGGACACCAACCTCCCCAACAGGCCCCTAAATAAATCATTTGTATGAACATATGGATATTTCACATATTGATGGTCGGATGCGGCAGTCGTGTCCAATACCACCCATTTGATGGGGAATGCAGATGTCAGTTGGAAGTTGCGTAAAATCAAGTGGATTGTGAGCATTTGGATTATGGGAATAACGATTATTGAAAAGTATTGAAGAAGTCATGAGTTACCGTTGCTGAGTCGGTGGATGTGAGGAGAGATGACTTGGTGTAACACACGTTCAGTGATAAGGTTGGATATTAATACAAACATTGAGACAGTTTTAAAATATTATGTTGCCAATGAGTGAACGTTCTACACCACATAGACATGTTCGAGTGACACGGAATTCATGTGTAGAACACTATTGTCAAAAGGTGTGCTTCATTTGTTTTTTGTGTGAATGAAAGCGTATGATGAGAGAACGCTAGAAATGTAATATTGTATTGTATAGTATGCCGCTTGATGGTGGTAGCGTTATAATGAATCTGATGCTGCAGATGCAAGCATTTGGACAAACAATACGTGTATATTTTACACATTTGCCAAAAGAAATATACAAATACCGCCCATGGTGTTCAACGTTGATGTTCTGAAGACCTAGTATGTACTTCTCAACAGGTGCACTTTTTGTGTCAACTATTTAACCTTAACCGTTTGTGTCCAATAGCTATGTTATCATTTGCTGGACATATGGCGAACGATCACCTATGCTGAACATGTGCCTTTAAGAATATGTTGATTGAAACACAGCCCCAGGATGAGCATCAGTCATGTCCAACATGGCCAAGATGAAGAGTGTCTATTTATTGCCTGTTATCACCACCATGTCATGAGATGATTTCAGAGTGCATGTCCTCACCTCATTCTGTAAACACGTGCTCGTCAGACAAACTTTGACAGAGCTGTCTTTGGCGTAAGATCATTAACATGAAATCTATGTACATCTATAATATATAAACCACATATGAATAAAGTCAAGATTATTGTAATGTAGACGTTGTTACTGGCGATGGTCGCCTTGTGGTTCATGTGGCGCGTGCGTGCGTGTGTGCGTGTGTGCGTGCGTGTGTGTGTGTGTGTGTGTGTGTGTGTGTGTGTGTTTTCCATTCAACACATGGTTACCACTTTTTTTATTTCCCCTGTCGCAATGTGCATGGGACAATGCCAAAAAGCGGCGTTAACCAAATATGGCTCACTCGTCTCGGAGTTACGTCAGCCAGTTAGACTTTCATATTCTCTGTACCAGTGAGCGAAGCATTCTGACAAGAAAATCTAATTTCTGTATGTAGAAACGAACTAAAACGAACTTCGAAAAAGAAGATTCATAATAAAGGCCGCACCATTATATCCTTGTGGATATTTTATGCTACATGTTTTCTGAGACCCATGACATCTACACTCAAAATGGAGTACCATCGAAGGAATGTTTGTCTCCTGTGTAGGTTTTCATATGTTTAGATCGGAATTTCCGAATCGAGGTGGCAATGAACTATGAAGCCAACAGGTTTTTAAAAGCTGGCTTGGGATTATTTCAAGAAGCTCGCGTCGTTCGTTTAGGTCGGGCGGTCAAAGGTCGCGCAGGGTTCACCTGACACGTCCTTCTATGAGGGTGTCGTCAGATGTCGACTCAGAGAGTTATCCTATCGGTGTAAAAGTGTTTGTTTGATGTTTAACGTTGCACTCAGCAATATTCCAGCTGTATGACGGCGGTCTGTAAATATTCGTGTCTGGACTAGACTATTCAGTGATTAACTTCATGAGCATCGATCCACGCAATTTGGATACGATGACATGCATCAACCAAGCCAGCGAGCCTGACCACCTGATCCCGTTAGTCACCTCTTACAAGCATAGTCGCCTTTTACGGCAAGCATGGGTTGCTGAAGACCTTTTCTACCCCGGATCTGCACGGGTCGGAGTAAAAGATCTGATTGCAATGACACTGGTATAATTTGGTTGCCACATGAAGCATGGATGCTTGTATGTTGTCGGACCACGAGGGTCTGGATCGATCCCTGTTCGCCGGCCGTGACCTGGATCGCTAAAATTGCTGACAGCCGTTTAATTCACTGCCTCCCCCTGCCTCACCTTCTCACTCGGGACGTTCACCGGTGATTTCAACAGAGATGCACACTGTACGAACTGTGTCCTTTCAAATGGCATGGGAGCGGTGGGGTAGCCGAGTGGTTAAAGCGTTCGCTCGCCGAGCCGATGACACGGGTTCGATTCCCCAATGGGCACAATGTGTGAAGCCCATTTCTGGTGTCCCCCCGCTGTGACATTGTTGGAATATTGCCTAAAGGGGTGTAAAACCTAACACACTCACTCATTACCTCACATTTTATGACGCTTCGGACAATAACATACGGTAAAACTGATAACCACACACACACACACACACACACACACACACACACACACACACACACACACACACACACACACACACACACACACACATGACATTGGTGGATACTCCGCACAGTGTTGCACGGTGTATATGTTACGAAGTATGTTGATAAAATATTATAATTCAATGTTACATAATAAATGAAAGAGTGATACTAAATTGATAAAAATACAAGAAACTTTGGAAAGGTTACCAAAATGTAATGTTAACAAATGCAGTATGGATACTTACTGACAGTAATTCAAACTTATATTCTATAGTGTAGGTCTGTAGCTACCATCTCGGGACATCATTTCTCATCATTATGGCGAGGTGACGTTAAATGGGGTTTAACGTCGCGTCCAAGATTATTGCACTTATACAGCGTGCACGTGTGTGTGTGTGGCTGCTTGTACTGGTCCGGACTAATGCTGATTTTATAGTGCTACCTACTGAGATACCATACCGATACCATAACATGAATACCCCACTTAGACATAGTATACTGACTCTGAGCCGACCATTCCTTGTTTTAGCCCCTTAATTCCGAGCGCCAGGAAGGGTAACAACAAGTACCACGGAGCCGGTCCTCATCATTATGGATGTGGGGACACGGGTGATCCTGTCGTCTAAGGATCCACAATTATATGTGCAGAGTTGTGTCCCTTAGACGTGCCAGGAACCTACGAGCGAGCTTTCTGATCCCAATTAGCAGTGATTTATAAACTACATCCGTACTCGTGGGTTTTACCAAAGTGGTAAGCCTTCCTCACTTCGGAATTCCCTCCAACCTGAAGCTGAGACGTGCACGTCGTGATATAACTAAAACACTGGATGAAAATCAGTTGGGAACATCAACGATTTGTTAGACTCTGTACATACCTCTCGGAGATAAGTGTCAAGTCTGTCATTGAATCTATTACATGTTTTAACACAACAGAGACTCAGTATTAGATGATATTTTTTATTGACAAGAACGCCAAGAAACATTACGATGAAGACAGATATTTAAGAAATCTTTGGAGAAAACCGTCCATTGTAGAACATTTCTCTCTCTCTCTTTCACACTGCAGAGATGCAAACTACCATGGGATATTCTGTTGATGTTATGTAGAGTTGCTAGGATACCGCACACGTCCCTTCCGGTTACAAAACGAGGCTAATACAAGGTTCATGTTTATCGCCCTTGCTCTCCGTTAATGGACGTGATATAATTGATGTGACGCACATAACGATATGCCACTTTATCACATCTAAGTCACGTTCACCAGTAACACATATCACAAAATGCACATTTGGCAAATTATAAATGTAAAGCGTTTCCAGGCACATCTCCTTCATATTACCTTCTTTTTAAGGCGCCGCAATTCGTTTGGCAGAATGGTGCCCCTTTTCAGGGACAGGTGGTCCGACGAGACCCGATGAATGTTGGTTTGAACACCGGCTGAGCGTCATGTCCATACCTGTAACCGTTGGTTTCAGAAATCCGACTTCATGCGAACTTCATATTTTCCTTCCACTTGCCTTGATACAACTTAAATAAAGTTCAAAACGGTGTTAAATCCCACTCACTCGTTTCCCGTCTTCTTCTTCGTCAAGTATCTGCTTTCAATCAAGGTCCATTCAGCGTTGTTTTTCAGGTTCCGCTTTCATTTTCTTCTCCGCTCTTGTTGTGGATCCATCTCCACCTCGACACCTCTGTCAGGGGTCCTCTTCTTCCCTTGTTCACAGAACCAGGCTGACCTGCAGATGCTCATCCTTATGTATTGTAAGGGCAACATCTACCATCAACCCTTTCTCGAAATAAATTTCTTCTTCATTTTTTCAAGTAGAGATGCGATATCTACCTTCCTCGTCTTCGCCTGCACTTTGGGGTCAGCAAGACGACTTAGATCAGACAGTGAGTTCTTCAAATGAGTCATAAGGCGCTCCTTCCTCCGATCTTCTTCCTCTTCCTCAGCTTGGAGTTTCAAATTTACGCGTTTCCGAATATCCCCAGAGGCAGCTAGACGTTGCGATCTGGGCGAGACTTGCCCCAGCAATGCAGTCAGCTCCAAGTGGAGCTCTTCCACGGGGCTGGAACTACGACTTGGGCAATCATCACAGGTACTATCGTCGTCAAAGGAGTATTCAACAAGCTTGTGAGGGCCACTGCAGCACAAGTCCGATGAAGAAGATTGAGGTCTCATCTTTTCGTTTTTCGTCCGTGTTTTCTTGTGTGTATCCGTGGTTACGATTCAGAACGAGAACGTTTAACTGTGAAGCACTGTTATCCTCACGGCGTATATATCGGGCCTCGATGAATCCGTTATCCAACCATCTATCACAGGACAAGCGCTCGCCGAGGGCGCTTCGCAATCACAGCCTTGTTCTTGTGTTTGTGTGTGTGCTTGGGTTTCAACACTCTTGACGACTGTTTATTTAAACAATGGCTTGGCTAAGCAACGGACCATATTTGAACGCTTCATTAACGCACTGTTGTGAGATTGGAATGTTTGCTTTAGAGCAGAATGTATGGGTTAATTAGGCTGAAACAACAGCGTACGTTTAAATGGTCAATTAGAAGAAGTAAGTCCTCGAGTAAACATTCAACAGTCAGCGGTTGTATTAAGAACGTTATCATGGATGTAGGGCGAGTATTGATCTTTAATGTCTATAGATTTCTTACTTAATTCAACACGCACTTTGGTATTTACATAAATGAAAGTGGAAGCATTCATTCTAGTGTGATGCTATTAGTTCGCGTTCGTAGTAGTTATAACAAACCCTGCTTATTCTAACGCTGAGTTGACATGTTCAATTTATCATTATGTTCTTTACGTGGAAGGAATATGGACATTTACCAGTTGTTTCTGTTTTAAAGTGTCTCCTTTTATAACTGCATCATTTTCATGTGCTTAAACATTGTTTTCGTCGACTTAAACTAGTGCCACCGGCCCAAAGCATAGACAATGTACGAAATTCGAAATTTCACGTAGTAGCAATAAACTAATAATGTTTGTTACTTTTAATTCCTGATATGTTGAGACCCATGTTTAATCGGCAGGATGTGTGCGTTGGGAGCAAAAGTACTTCAGTTGGTCTGCCAGCTGCATGTAAATCCAGTCAGAGGCCATAATCAGGGATAGGATTCGAACCCATGACCAGCAGATCTGGGAGGCTGAAGGGGTTGAGCATGGACAGCTCGCCCCTGCGGAAATGTGTCAGCTTATCAAACAGCTTAAAGTGGAGGGAAGATGTATTGGACTGTGCAGCACATGCATATAGACTATTCAACACATGTATATAGACTATTCGACACACACACACACACACACACACACACACACACACACACACACACACACACACACACACACACACACACACACACACACACACACACACACACACACACACAGCGGACTGTATAGTGGATGTGCAGCATATGCATAAAGACGATCTGACACATGTATATAAAGTATACGACACATGTATATAGACTAATTGATACATGTATATAGAATATTCGATACGAGCTTAATGACTATTCGACACATGCATGGGGACAAGTCAACACTGGACACATGTATAACACCTATTCGAAAGCATGTGCATGTATAT